GAAATAACACTTTCTGCCCGGGAGACTGAACAAAGGAGAGGAGCAGCGGGAGGAGTTTGGAGTTTAGTTTCGGTTGGGGCCGGGGGGGGCCAGGCAGGGAACCCCAAGCTGGGGTCTAAGCTCCCTGAACCTCCCAGAGGGACCTAATTGAGGGGGTCTGGTCGTACCGACACGCTCTGCTTGAGACTGTGTTCCTGTCCTTAAATAAACCTTCTGCTTTACTGGCTGGCTGAGAGTCGCAGTGAATCTCGGGAAGAGGGGTGCAGGGCCCTAACTCCCCCACAATCCGCAACAACGCCCTAATGAAGTATGCTGCGCACGCCTATGCTAATACACCTTTCTCTTCTAGGACCTGGAGCCTGGCCCCCCTATAACCTGTCTGTGCCCGAAGGCTCCTCTGGGTGTATTAAAATTAACATATCTGAGAATTCATCTCTTTTGTGTAAGATGCAAACCGCCATCACAGCCACCTCCGATCACTCTGCTTGTGACCCCATCCTGGCGTTAATTAATAAAGAAATCCGGAACTACAACAGCACATTCAAGGGACGGATCTCTCTATCAGACCAGCTTGTTACTGTGAAGAACGCAAGTAAATGGATGGCCGCGGAATACCAAGTTCTTAGTTTCCTTCATGGAACCTGCATGGCTCGTATCAATCTGACAGTTCCTGGTAAGTTTCCCAGGTGACTTGCCTCGAGGTGTATGGCCTGTGGGACTCCGGTTCAGCCTCTCTCACAGCCTCTGCCCCCTCCATCAGATGTGCAGTCGTGGTGTATAATAGGGCTGTCAATTAATCGCAGTTAACTCATGCGATTAACTCAATTTAATCGCACTGTTAAACAATAGAATACCAATTGAAATGTATTAAATGTCTGGATGTTTTTCTACATTTTCAATAACACAGAATACAAAGTGTACAGTGCTCACTGTATCTCTTATTACAAATATCTGAACTGTAAAATGCTAAAAGAAATAATACGTTTTCAGTTTACCTCATGCAAACTAATGCAATTTCTTTATCGTGAAAGTGCAACTTACAAATGTAGATGGTTACACTGCACTTAAAAACAAAACAATATAAAAGGTTAGAGCCTACAAGTCCATTCAGTCCTACTTCTCGTTCAACCAGTCGTGAAGAGAAACAAGTTTGTTTACATTTACGGGAGCTAATGCTGCCCGCTTCTTATTTACAATGTCACCTGACAGTGAGAACAGGTGTTTGCATGGCACTGTGGTAGCTGGCATGGCAAGGTATTTACGTGCCACATATGATAAACATTTTATATGCCCCTTCATGCTTTGGCCACCATTCTTTTTTCCTAAGTGCCTAAATCCCCTTTGAAAATTACATAGGCTCCTAAACCAGTTAGGCATGGTGCAGTAATGCCTAAATACCTCTACGAATCTGGGGCTAAGTCTGTGTGTCTCTGTCCGGGGTTTAGTACGTGACCACCAACCTACCTCTGTTTCCCCTTGATCAGGACCCCTTTTAAGAACTCAGGCAGGTTCCAATCACTTTCTCTGCCCACAATTGTTAATCCACTCTTCGCCAGGCTGGCACTGGAGTTTGTCCAAACGCAGAATGCAGCAGTCTCACAACGCACACAGTATTACATCATTTCTAGCTCGACAAGCCTCCTGATTTCTAGGCTTCCCTAGCTCACTAGCAGGGTCAGCTTTCTCTCAACCACAACCTCCCGCTGACTTTGAATCACTAGATTCCCTTGGGGTGGGACTTGGCCTGTGATCAGGGCTGGCTTAGCCCACAGCCCTCCAGCCCAAGGGCAAACTACCCTGGTACAGGGGATAACAGTGCTTCCCTCCCCTGGGGGAGGGGGGGAGGATGTTGTGAGGATAAATACTCTAAAAGGCTTCTGAAGTGCCCAATACATTGAGGGGGAGGGGGGCTAGATAAGAACCTAGATATTGCATTACCAGTTCCTGCAAGATGCTGTGTATTGCACCCTCACATCTCTTTAAATCAAGACTAGATGACTTTAAAAAAAAATTTCTCTAGCTCAACCACCACATATGGGCTGGATCATAGGTGCCAAGTTTCTAATCTGCTGGGGAATGCTCTGCCCAGGCCCTGCTCCCACTCCACCCCTTCCCCCAAGGTCCCACCCCTGCTCTGCTTCTTCCTAACCCCACTCCACCCCTGTCCTGCCTTTTCCCGCTCCACCCCTTCCCCACCCAGTTCTGCCCCCTCTCCTGAGCATGCTGTATCCTTGCTCCTCCCTAGTCCCTCCCAGCACTTCCTGATGCTGCAAAACAGCTGATCCATGACGGGGCAGGAGGTGCTGGGAGGGGGTGGTGCTGATTGGCAGGGCTGCCAGCAGTGGGGGAAGGGGGAGGTTCCGGTAGGGGGGCTGCCAATGGGTGCTTAGCACCCGCCATTCTTCTCCTCCCCCCATGGGTGCTCCCAGCCCTGGAGCACCCACAGTGTCGGCACCTATGGGCTGGATACAGGAATCACTGGGTGATGTTCTCTGGCCTGGGTTATACAGGTGGTCAGACCAGCTGATCTAATGGTGCTCTCTTGCCTTAGATTCTGTGCCTGCAGGTCCCGTATCGGAGACCCCGTCTGCCAGAGAGGGGGCTGCCAATCTGACTGGAGAGGGAAGTAGCCGAGGGACACTTTCCAACGGCTCTCCGGATCGGGGTAAGTATTAATGACCTGAATCTCTTTACAGGAGCCCTCCCCAGTGGGGTGTGGAGTGCTGGGTTAGTGCCTGATCACCATGTTTTTTAACGAGAACTTGGGGTGTTTGTCTTGATCCAAGCGATCACCCACAGCTGGAGGCTGTCAGATAATTAGAGCCCTGTGAAATTTTTTTAATAATATTTTTGTCTTATTTGCGGGGAATCATGTGGGGTTTTGTTTTATCCACAAGGTAGAGGGGCGGGGGGGTCAAGTCCTGCCCCTGTGGGAGGTGTGAGGGCCAGGTCAGGCTGGGCAAGAGAAGGGTTGGAGAGTAAGCCTGCCCTTCACTCACCCCGCAACAGCAGCGCCTGTCCTACAGGGCTGGGCCTGCCCGCCAGCCACCACAATAGCTGAGCAGTGCTGTGACCCTTGTGCACCAGATCACAACACCAGGAGCTGTGTGGCGAGAGGGTTTGTTTTTTTTTTTTTTTTTTTTTTTTTACCATGGCGACAAACTTGCAAATTTTTATACATTGATGTTTCCTTGTTTCTCATGCTGGCTCGTATCTGCAAATTTCTTGGGGCTCTCCAGATAAATAATTATCCCTAGTGGAACAACTTCACTAGGAGGGACCCCCACTCAGTGGGTAAAGCACGTTCCAGAGAGTTGGGAGACTGGGGCTCAAGTCTCTGCTTCTCTCCATGGGTTCGAATCTCGGTCTCCAAAGTCCTGGGTGGATGCTCTAACCACTAGGGACCATCTTTTTTCTTTTAAAAAACGGACTGACCCTGCTTAAGCACTTAAGGAGAAGTGCACGGCTGTGAATTGCAAGTGGAGGGAGGTGCCTATTCACAGCCTTCTCCTCGGCATTTCATTCTGGCTACCTTAAGCAGCCCCCTGCCTCGCACGCTGGCTTCTGTGAATCCCTTTTCTAGGGACCCCCCCATGAGTCATAGAGAGAGTCAGGGTGCCACGCTCTGGGGTGGCAGGGGATTGCAATGATCAGCCTCTGCCCCATTTTGCACCTACATCTAGGGGCTGTTTTTTCAAACTTTACCCATAGCCATGAAGGCTAGAAACCTTCACTGAGAAAACCCAAATGAAAGTGGGGAGTCTCCTCTAATCACAGGACTCCGGGAGCTGGGGCTTTAAGGAAAGCACCAAATATCATGAGAGATGGCAACACAAGGTTACCTTTGCTGTAGTCTGAATGACTCTAATTAACATGTATTATTTGCCTTGTACGAATGGCCTGGACCCCATGGTGTCAGGTGCTGTACAAACACAGATCTTGCCAGCTTGTTGTTCTCGGTAGGCTCACTCTAAAGTTCTTTATCTGGCCCCCGTCATGTTAATATTGGAGCATCTCACATCATCCCCTGCGATAGTGCAGTGCTATTCACACTACAGAGGGGGAATTGAAGCCCAGAGAGGGACTTAAGGGGAGTGTAGGGAATTGAATCCTTGTCTCCCAAGTCCTAGGCGAGGGCTCTAACCACTGGGCCACCCTTCTTCTCTTAATCCAGTTGTCTAAACTGACTCTTCTCCTGGGTTTTCTTTCCAGAGCCAGGAGGCCTCTATGGTGTGTGGATATCGTTTGGGTTCATCACTGCTTTGTTCGCTGCTGCTGCACTTTATGTCCGCTGGAAACGTGTGAGAGAAGGACCAGGAACCCGTCGTGGTGGTGAAGAGGAAGGGATCTCCGACTCGGCAGACTCCCCTGTTTGCGTGCTGGCTCGTGCCTCACATCTGCACAAGGCTGGAACCCAAGACGGAGAGGCTGGTGAGGAGATCCCACTGAACGGAGAGATGGTACAGCCCCGGGAACTGAGCTGACGGCCCCAACGCAGCCGAGAGGCAGCACTTTAATAGCGTTGAATGGCCGAGGTGCGGGCGCCTCCTGTGTGTGCTGAACAGCTGCGATCATTGCACTAGCCTGGATGTGACTTCTCCCCATGTGAGGCTCTGGGTTGGGACACCTGGGTCTTCCACCAACCCCCTGTCTATGGGTGAGTCACTCAGGGCCGAAGATTCAAGAGCTCAGACTGAGAGTGGGGTGTTAATCCGAAGGCTCATGCAGCTGCCTAACTGGGAACTGAGCTACTCTGAAAATCTGGCCTTCTTTCCCGTGCCTTAATTTCCCATCTTTAAAGTGAGACACTCCTCTGTGTAGATTGTAAGCACTTTGGGGCAGGGACTGTGTGTGTGTGTGTGTGTGTGTGTGTGTGTGTGATCACTATGGGGCCCTGACTGGAGCTGTAGGCTCCCTTGTAATATTAATAATCATAAGTAAGGCTACGAATCTGACATGGAGCTTACAGACGCTGTGATTCTTTCTTTTATGAGCCCTCCACAACTTCTGGTCGATCCCAATAATTCAACCCCGGGCAGCAGGGTTTGGGCATCCATGAATTATTATTTATTGCCCGTGTCCTGTCCAGGAGTTTTCATAAAAATACCTGTGCCAAAATCGTAGCCTTGATCATAAGTAAATGTGATTGGTTTTTTTAATCTGTTTTTACTATTGTATTTATCTCTGTGCCTGTCCCTTTTGTCTGTGACAAGATTTCTGTTTAGACTATAAGCTATACAGCAGAGGAAGTGGGTCTCATTTATCTTTGCACAGGGGGGCACTGATCTCTGCTGAAGACTTGGTGCAACTGCAATACACACAATAAAATCACAGCTCTCTGAACTATTTTTTTTTTTTAATTTATTTTTTAACCTATCGTGAATCTTCCCAGCTTCTTCAGAAGCTCCAATGCTCCGTGGAGTGAGCATTGGCTCTAGCTCTCTGGGGTCTCCAATGCAAACCTCTCCCCTATGTTCAGTCAGCCCCCTGCCCCCTTTCTTTTATTTAGCGATTGGACACTGGCCCATCAAGGCTAGTCCAATATTGAACTAGCCTTGATGGGCCAGTGTCCTATAGCCACGTAGCTTTCATGGCTGTTGAGCAGCGTGATCAAATGTCTCCTGGCCACTAGGTGTCAGTATTACGCGCTTTTAGTTGGTTAAGTGAGGGTGAAGCCCCAAGTACTCTCGGGCTGCTGTTATAAAACAAGTCCTACCACCAGGGTGTAAAGTGACTTACATTTAATTCATGCCCCCATCCCCAGCGCTAGAAGCTCAAGTCTGTCCTAGCATGAGCCTGCTCCGCTGGCATTCCCGCCATACGGAGTCTCACTCGCTCACACCAGGACCAAATTCGGTTTGCAGGGGTCAGCAACGTTCGGCACGCGGCTCGCTAGGGTAAGCACCCTGGGGGGCCGGGCCAGTTTATTTACCTGCCGAAGGGGCAGGTTCGGCTGATCGTGGCCCGCACTGGCTGCGGTTCGCTGTCCTGCGCCAATGGGGGCGGCGGGAAGCCACGGCCAGCACATCCCTCGCCCACGTCGCTTCCCGCCGCCCCCATTGGCCCAGGACAGCAAACCCCGGCGAGGGGGGGCCGCGATCGGCCGAACCTGCCGCGTCAGCAGGTAAATAAAGTGGCGCAGCCCCCTAGGGTGCTTACCCTGGCACAAGTCTATCAACCAATTAAAGATCAGTTGATGCGTTAATCCTTTGCACCACTCTGTTGTCCTCAGTGGGGTCACAACGGGGATGGAGATGGTCCCAGATCAGTCATGTGTTTCTATTACACCCCTTTCTGGGGGAGCTGGGCTGCCAGGAAGCTGGTGGGGAGAGGAGCGACAGCCCTGGGACTGGTGGATTGGGGTATCTAGGTTCTGTGCATGGCTTCCCAATGATCGGCCAACATCAGCACATCTCTCTGTGGACCCCAGTGTTCGAGCCCCCCAAGCAAGGGAGCAAACCCCACTGCAGACAGATGGGGTGGGCCCCACTCCAGGCAGGAAGCCGCAGTGTTGTCCTCTTCCATGGGTTGTTATTTACACAGGAAGGATGGGCTGTGCCCATTGTGAAGCGCCAGGAGAATGTTGGCCAATCAGCGCTGGCTCGAAGGTGAGCAGATGGAAAACAGGCTTCCCACACCTCAGCAAAGGCTGACCTGCAGGAAGTTGGCTTCATCTCAGCTGCCCTGTGACCCCTCACTGTGGTTTGCAGCAGTGGGTGGTAATGCAGATAGGATCAAACTGATCAAGAGTGTGAATCACCTGCTGTGTGAGCAGAGGGTAAAAGATGTGGGGCGGTTCAGCTTGGGGGGAAAAAAAGATGGGTGGGGGGGGAGTGTGATAGAGGTCTATAAAATCATGACTGGTGTGGATAACTGACTGAGGAAGCGTTATTTACCCCTTTCCATAACACAAGAACTAGGGGTCACCTGGTGAAGTGAATAGGCAGCAGGTTTAAAACAAAAGGAAGTATTTCTTCACACAACGCACAGTCAACCTGTGCAACCCATTGCCAGGGATGTGGTGGAGGCCGGAAGTACAACAGGGTTCAAAATGAAATAGAGCAGAAGTGAAAGTAGGCACCAAGACTTACCACTGATGTGGGGGGGGAGGGGAAGCAGAGAGACCCAGACCCAGCCCCCTCCGCTCTGCCGGCTCCCAGCTGCGACATTCTACTGCCTGCCACCGGCGGTGCGTGCCGGGGGCGGGAAGCGACTGGGGCTGGGTTGCTCCTCTTCCTACTGCCGCTAGTCAGTGCAGGGGCGGGTTCAACCCCTGCTCCCAGCTCCATAGGGGCCCCCAAAGCTGGGGTCTGGGGCAGCTGCCCCTTTTTCTCCCCCTCATCGGCACTCTGCTGGTTGGGTCTGACAGTGCTGCCGACAGCGGGGAGCCAAAAGTCGGCTGTGTGCTGCACCGGCCCACTTTCACCTCTGGCTCCATCAATGGCTATTAGCCAAGATAGTCAAGGACGTAAGCCCATGGTCTGGATGTCCCTAGCCTCTGATTGCCAGAAGCAGGGACAGGATGATAGGAGATGGATCACTCGATAAATTGCCCTGTTATGTTCACTCCCTCTGAAGCATCTGACCACTGTCAGAGATGGGATACTAGGCTAGATGGACCATTGGGTTGAACCAGTATGGCCATTCATATGTTCTTATCAGCTAGTGCTTATCAACGTCTCCTCCCCACAAACTGCTCTGAACCTGATCCCCACCTGGTACAAATCACCCATAACTCTGCTGGCATCAATTGGCTGTCACTCAATTGGTGTCAGTAGGCCCAGATCCCAGGCAGGGGTCAATCGGCCATAGCTCCACTGGAGTCCATGTGGCAAGATTCTTGGCTGGGGTGAATCGACTGTCGCTCCGTTGGAGTCAATGGGGCAGACCCCCAGCGCGTGTCAATTGGTATACAGCTCTACTGAATTCAGCAGAGCTACGCTGCCTATTCCCAAAGAGAAGAGGAGTACTTGTGGCACCTTAGAGACTAACAAATTTATTTCAGCAGAAGCTTTCGTGGGCTACAGCCCACTTCTTCGGATGCATAGAGTGGAACACACAGACAGAAGATATTTATACACACAGAGCACATGAAAAGGTGGAAGTACGCATACCAACTGTAAGAGATCAGTCAATTGAGATGAGCTATCAGTAGCAGCAGAAGAAAAAACTTTGAAGTGATAATCGAGATGACCCATAGAAGGTGTGAGGAGAACTTAACATGGGGGGAAAACATTCAATTAGTGTAATGAC